GCTCCGCGATCTTTTTGCTCCCTCTGCCCGAGCTGGGAGCTGCGCAGAGCCCGGCCCTCCTCCCACCACCCGATCGCTGCGCTGAGTTTATTTCTTTTAAAATACTGACGCGTCCCGCTTTGAAAATGCGGCGCAGAGCGAATCTCGTTCTGCGGCTCCATCCAGATCTGCATCTCAGATGTATCCCGTGTATTCGTGTATTTTTACATGCGTATTTTTGCGCACTCATATTTATTTGATGTCTGTTTACATTTATATGCACGCATACATATGTTTATATTACACCTACACACATTCACACACACTGTCCTGTGACCCCCAGGACCGACCGGCTCCCCTTCTCCCATCCTCCCCCATCCCCTTTCAGCTCTGCTCAGGGGGTGCTGAGTCCCCCCCATTTTGGGGTATCCCGGTGCTGGGACACCCCAATACCCCTCTCGTTACCCTGAGAGGTAGGATCTCCCCTCAGCTTTGCTCTCCCCTAACCCTGCATTACTCAGCCAAAGGCTCTGCTTTACCACGCGTCCAACCCCCCCCCCCCCCCCCCCAATGTTTACTTCCATATTTTAATATCTTTTGTTGTTTCTATTATCATCCCCCCTCCCCTCCCCTCCCCATCATAAGCTTTCTACGGTCCCCTCTTTCCTTCCTACCCCGGGCAATGCACTCTCTGCTTAAAGTCCATCACATTCATTTGTACAATGACTTCACACGTTGCGGTCCATAATGTGTATTTTTAAACCGAGCATCTCCTTTTAATGGACATTCTCATGTCATTTCGGCGGCTGTTATTTCTCTCCTGATTGTCCCCCCGGTCCAGCAGCGGCCCTGTTTTTTCCTCCCCCTGTTGTGTGTTTTTATTATTTTCCCCCTGGCTTAGATGTGTCAATCACTCTCTCCCTGCCATTGGTTGGAGAGTTTGCGTCAAAAAGTTGCCAGAGAGGCGCTTTCTCAGCAAAGCTCCCCGAGAGAGGTAGAGACCTCAGCTCCAACGCACCCTGCCACTATTATTAAAAATAAAATCACTCGACCAACTCCGGCACCGCCAGCTCTGTACGTACCGAGCGCAGCCCCCGACCATTCCCGCATCCCTCTCCCGCACCGCCCCCCACCCGCCCCCCCCTTTCTTTTTATTCCCCCCTATTTCTTCTTTTTCAAACATTTTTTTTTCCCCCTCTCTCCTCTCCCCCTTTCTCCCCCCACCCCACCCCTCCCCTCCACCTCAGTGGCGTGGGCATGTGCATGCGGCGCGCTCCCTAACCTCCCGCTTTGTGCTTTTTCTCTCTCAGCTCAACCCCAGCCCTGAATTTGGAGAGGACCCGACCGTCGGCTCAGCCCCCCGCGCCCCCCAGCCCTGCCCGCGGCCCCTCAGGTAAGTGAGGCACCGCGTTCGGGGCACCGCTCTTAAACACAACGACGACGGGAGAGGAGGAGGGTGGTGATCGTAAATTATTACGCTTATTTTATTATTACTTCTTTTGGTTTTAAGTGCTTTTATGCCTGGAGATGAGGGCACCAGAGCAGGGAGCGGGATACTGGGATGCGCCGGTGCACCCTGCACTGCGCCGGGAATAACCCGCACTGCCATGGGGAGGCCGGACCGGGCCGGGCCGAGCGGAGTCAGGCTGCCCCGAAGGCTGAAACATTCCCCAAAGGGAACATTCCCCAAAGCGGAGGACGGGGACAGGCGATTCCCACGGCTCGCCCCTAAGCCCCTCTCTCCGCCGTGAGCTCGCTGCGCGTTTCTTCGCCTCGCATTATTCTCCCCCCCCTCCTGATCCTTTGGCCTTTCATTCTTCCCCGGCCCCGAGATGGACCTGGAAAATGAGAAAGAATCGGGGATATATCTATTTTTTTTCTTTTCTTTTTTTTTTTCTTTCTCTCTTTTTTTTTTTTTTTCCTTTTTTTTTTTTTTTTCCCCTTTTTTGTTTTTCTTCGTTTTTTGTTTCCCGACTGGAAACTCCGCTCGTCGAGCTGCGGAGACTCCGCAAAGTAATTGCGCTGCGGTGCACTGAGCACCCGCGGAGCCGCGCTGGGAGCAGCTGGGGTTGGCATCCTCGGGGCTTTGGGGCTACAAAGCCCGATGTGGGCAAAACGGATGGAGTGAACCGCATCCCGGTCCGGGAGCTGCCGGGGCTGTTTTGTATCTCCCCGCTTAATTTATTTTAATTATTATTATTATTATTTGGCCGCGGGAAAGCGCTTCCCAAAGGCTCCGTGACCCGAATGGCACCGCGCTGACAAAGAGAAAGTCGGGAAAGTCCTTGCGAAGGAGCACAAGTTGCATTAGGGAGGAACTCCTCTGTGGGGCTGAGATCGGTTTGCGGTTCGGGTGCTGTGAGAAGTTGGGATTTGTTATCCGTTTCGTTAGAAGAAAAAGGAAAGAGAGAGAGAAAGAGAGAGAGAGAGAAAAGAGAGAAAGAAAAAGAGAAGGAGAGGAAGAAGGAAGGAGGGAAGGAGAAAGAAAGAGAGAGAGAGAAAGAGAGAAAGAAAAAGAAAGAGAGAAAGAGAGAAAGAGAGAGAAAGAACGAAAGAGCGAAAGAGCGAAAGAAAGAGAAAGAGAGAAAGAGAGAGAGAAAGAGAGAAAGAGAGAGAGAAAGAGAGAAAGAGAGAAAGAGAGAAAGAGAGAAAGAGAGAAAGAGAGAAAGAGAGAAAGAGAGAAAGAAAGAAAGAAAGAAAGAAAGAAAGAAAGAAAGAAAGAAAGAAAGAAAGAAAGAAAGAAAGAAAGAAAGAAAGAAAGAAAGAAAGAAAGAAAGAAAGAAAGGAAGAAAGAAAGAGAGAAAGAGAGAAAGAAAGAGAGAAAGAGAGAAAGAGAGAAGAAAGAAAAGGGGGGAAAAAGAGAAAAAGAGAAAATAAAGAAAATAAAAGGAAAGAAAAAGAAAGAAAAGAAAAAACAACTCAATTAACGATGCGTTTATAAAAATGCGATCGTGGAGGCAGAGATGGGACGACGGCCCCGAGGTGAGGTCGCTCCCGACCGCCCCTTTCGTTCTCCGGAGCCTCAACGGAGCGCGGAAACAGCGCGGCAGAGCCGGGAGGGGACGCACAGCCGGTGCAGATACATTTATAGTTGGAGGATATCAAGACCCCTCCGTCTCAGAAAAAAGAAAGAAAGAAAATAATAATAATAATCAAAGCCATGGAAGTAATGCGGGCAGGGTGCGAGCGCAGTTTTTCCTCGCCGACCCCAGCCTCGATTCCCCTTCGTCCCTCAGCACTGTGCCCCAATCACCGGAGCTTCCCCCCCCCCCCCGACCCCCGCGGTGCCCCGGGCGCAATGTGCGCTCACGGTCGCTCCGTTCATCCATCAGCGGGGCCGGGGCCGGCGGCCCGTAATTAGGGAGCGTGTGCCGCCCGGATTATCTCGTTAGTTTATCAAGAAAACATTTATTATAATTAATTCTCGGACGGGGTAATTATTATTGAGCGAGGGCAGAGCAACTGGTAGGAGCGAGGGGGGGAGGAGGGGGAAAGGTGACAGATTGCGGAGCGGAGCCGTTGCTCCGCGGGTTGAGGCGTTGCGCGGCCGCGGGGGCTCCGCGGGGCTCCCGAGTTCACGGGTATGGAACGCTTTTAATTTTCACGAATTAATTATTAATTACTATGATCCATCTTTTTATTTTTATTATTATTATTATTATTTTTAGGGCCGTGCTTTCTGTTTGTTATCGTTGATGCTCGTTGGCTCGTTCGCAAACGTGCACCCACATTAATGTTGCTCTCTCTCTGCATAACGCACCCCCTTGGAGCGGCTTCCACCCCCTGCCCCCCCCTCGGGGAAGCTTCACCCTCCCCAGGGCAGTGCGGTGAAAGCAGGGCAGAGCCGCGCACGGTGCGCGGACGCGGAGCCGCTCCGCGCATTTGGAAGCAGCACCGCTGCACCGGGGGCATAGAGAGCGGTCGGGGGGTTGGGGGGGGGGGGTGCTGGAGCAGAGCCTCAGAGGTATTCGATGGCCGAACCATTGAGTTTTAGGCTGTTTGGGGAAGAAAGTTGCGCTCCTGTTTATTTATTATTATTATTTTCCGACGGCGCAGGGAGAAGGGCGAGATTTGGCCGAAAAATGTATTAAAAAACAAGGGGGTAAAAAGGCACCTTTTGTTTTCCCCCCAGGGTTTGGAGATTTAACACTTTCAGGAGCGCCGGGCACGGCCATTTCTCGGCGTTTGGTTCCCCCGTCCCCGCGCAACGCGCGGTGTTTGTTTTGCTCCTGCTCCGTCATCAAGAGTTTCTTGAAAGCCTAATAAATCTGTTACTCGCCTCCAAATCTAATTACCCGCAGTACTAATTAGGTGCAAATGGCCGGTGGAAATTACTACTGGTGGTAGAGCAGAAAAGTTTGTCTCTTCCCCGAGCGGGCATTTGAGCTCTGAAATGCAGCAACGTCGGGGGGAAGGGCGGAGGGGGGGGAGGTCTGAATGTACCCAAACCTGGGATAATTAAAGTCCTTGCAAGAGACTGGGGGAGAGATAGGTTTCTTGAATTGTTTCTTTGTTTCTCACCCTTGGGCTTTGTTATCTGCATTATTTATTTAGCCGAGGGGTTCTTTGTGTCTGCGAATGGCCCCAATCAAGTTTTGCTTGAGACAATTAGCTGGTGCCCGGCCGGGAATCCTATGCAAATGCCCCGGGCGGCCGTACAATGCGGGCAGTTGAAGGCATGGGGGGGTTTTGTTCGGGCAGTAATTACTGGATGGGACGTGTCCCCCCCCCCCACCCCCACCCCCCCTCTCCTCCCCTCCCTGCCTTTTTTGGGAGGGATGCGTTGATCTGCTCAGTCTCTCCCAGCTCCCAAATCCGGCTGCGGTCCGGGTTAAGAGCAGCGGGGATAAAGGCAGGGGGGGCAGCGAGCTCCCTGACCCCCTCCTCTCGCTCCGCAGGCACCTGGCGGCCCCCCCCTCCGCCCGACGGCACCCCCAGCACCGCCCGGGGCAGGCAGGGCGCTCGGGCGGACCCCCCTCGCCCGGATTTCGGCCAACTCTCCTCCCCGCTCCAACTTTAGCATGATGTCTTATCTTAAGCAACCACCTTACGCAGTCAATGGCCTGAGTCTCACCACCTCGGGCATGGATTTGTTGCATCCGTCCGTCGGTTATCCCGGTAAGGCACCTTTTTCTCCCTCTCGCCGGTCTCCCTTTTCCCCTCTGCCACGTGGATTTCCCAAGAGGAGAAGCCCCAAAGGCACACAGTGCCCTGAGATTGGAGTGGCCGGGGGTTTGCGGTTCTCCTTTTTCCCTTCCCTCTCCTCTTTTCCCGGGGGAAAAGTCAGCAAAAAGAGAACAGATGCTCCAACCCCAGCCGGGAGGGATGGGGAGGAAGAAGCAGCGCTGCAAAATAAGGCACCTGGGAACGGGCAGCGGATCCCCTAGGAGAGCCAGCGGGAACAGGATGCCCCTCTGGGGAGGGGTCCGGGGGGGTTCACAGGGCTCCGAGCACCGCCGAATGACAGCCAGGGCTTCTGGCTCCCTTCGCAGCCACCCCCCGAAAGCAGAGGCGGGAGCGCACCACCTTCACCCGGGCACAGCTGGACGTGCTGGAGGCCCTGTTCGCCAAGACCCGCTACCCCGACATCTTCATGAGGGAGGAGGTGGCCTTGAAAATCAACCTGCCCGAGTCCAGAGTGCAGGTAGGAACGGGGAAGAAAACGGGTAGGGAGCCCCGCTTGCATCCTCTGTCTCCAGCTTGCCAAACATCAAGAGGTGTTTTAGGGGATGACACCAAACCTAAAGGGTGATCGAATGGCTATGGGGTGAAGCGTGCTCAGGGAGGGGTGATGGTGCAGGGAGAGATGGAATGGCTGCTTGCCCCCAGCCTGGGCTGTAGGATGCTGCCCTTTTCTCCCAGAGCTTTGGGGCTTGGTGCAGCTCTTGAACACTCTTCTGAGCCCTCCGCTCCCCACCCTGGGCTCCTTAGGTCTCCACCAGTATCTGCACTCTCCAATGGACAAATCTCAGTCTCGCAGGTGCTCGAAGCCCCATGCAAAGTATCCCTGCTTCCCCAGGGACCCCTGCATCCTTGGATCCCCGAGGGTGGGGGCTTTCTCTGCCTCCAGAGAGGCTTTGATAGCAGAGAGGAGGCCTTGGGACCCTCTGCTGGAACCAGGCTGCCCACCACTTGCTGCTGCGAGATGCCCACCAGCAGCCTGTGGGTTCCCAGGCCACGGAACATCCCGGAGTGCTGCTGGTAGGGCAGGAGCACGGTCATGAGATCCAGGACAACCCTTGCAGCCTCCAACCCCATCTGTCCTGCTCACCTCTCCACAGCCACATGGTGCTGTGTCCCCCCTTATGCTCAACCTTTTCCCCCATGGTACCCTTCTAGAAGAGGTGGAGATAGGTTCGGGCGCTGACCCTGGCTGGGATCTGAGAGGCTGTTTAGGAGGTAAATCTTTACCTGGCCCCCAAGCTCTGCCTCTATTTTCCTAATTGTTTCCACCCTTTCTGATGCTCTGTTGTTTCTAATTAAGGGCTTGACTTCAAGAGGCCTTAAAAAGTGATTCCTGGGGGTCCCTGGCTGGCAAACAGCAAATAGGGAGTGCTCCCCCCGCCCTTCTCCCCCAAAAGTGGCTTTATTAAGCCTTTTGATTTGCCCATTTCTACTTGTTATTATTGCTAATGATCTCGGTGAAGGGGAGCCTTTCCCTGCAGCAGCCTCCGCAGTTCCCACCGCTTGCTCTCAGCCCCTCGGGGTGCCTGTGTGTCCCTAATACTAGGCTTGTCTCCATCCCTCCCTCCTTCCCTCTGTCCCGGTTCCCAGGTGTGGTTCAAAAACCGCCGGGCCAAGTGCCGGCAGCAACAGCAGCAGCAGCAGAATGGGGGCCAGAACAAGGTGAGGCCGGCCAAAAAGAAGAACTCGCCGGCCCGGGAAGTGAGCTCGGAGAGCGGGACCAGCGGGCAGTTCACACCCCCCTCCAGCACCTCGGTCCCCACCATTTCCAGCAGCAGTGCCCCCGTGTCCATCTGGAGCCCGGCGTCCATCTCCCCTCTCTCCGATCCCCTGTCCACCTCTTCCTCCTGCATGCAGAGGTCCTACCCCATGACCTACACCCAGGCATCGGGTTACAGCCAAGGATACGCCGGCTCGACCTCCTATTTCGGAGGGATGGACTGTGGATCTTATTTGACCCCCATGCACCACCAGCTCCCCGGACCGGGGGCCACCCTGAGTCCCATGGGTGCCAACGCGGTCACCAGCCACCTCAACCAGTCTCCAGCCTCCCTCTCCACCCAGGGCTATGGCGCCTCCAGTTTGGGCTTTAACTCGACCACCGATTGCTTGGATTATAAAGACCAAACCGCCTCCTGGAAGTTAAACTTCAATGCTGACTGCTTGGATTATAAAGACCAGACATCCTCATGGAAGTTCCAGGTTTTGTGAAGGCCCGCGGGAACCTTTGTGATAATAAGAGAAATCGTGACGAGAACAAAACACGCTGGGCCGAACGCTCCAGCTTTAGTCAGGTCTTGGTTAAATTAAAGAGAAAATAACTAAACGGACAAACGGACAAACAAACGAACATAAATCCGACGACGACGACAACGGCGACAAAAGAGGGACAGTGTTGGTGTGACCACGTTCAGACTCATCTCCTGCTCAGACGCTCTGGAAAAGGAACGACAAAGAGGAAAACGGAGGAGGAAGGCCTTAAACGGACAGATCATCTAGTGAGCAGAAAACAGACAGACCAATCCGTGTTCTTTATAGTTTTAGGCAATTGTTGGGTTTCTTTGTTTGGAAGAGGTGGGAGATCGTTCCACCTACGGGCCAGTTTTTAAACAACAACAACAACAAAAGTCTAGGTTTTTATTTCTTTTTGTGTGTGCGTGGAAAGATCCTTCACCCAGAGGTTTCCAACGTGTTAGCCAACCCTTGGTTAAAATATTCGGAATGGACAGCGTCTCTCTTTCTCTTTTTCTCCCCTTTTTTCTCCCTCCTTCCCTCCCTCTTTCTTTCTCTCTCGCGCTCATCCAACTGTTTGACGCCCAACTCAAGTGGGCACTGAGAGAACTTGGTTCAGGGCTGTGTGGGTTGTGTGACTGATTGTCCTAGCTGCACTACTTTATTTAAAGAAAAAAAAAATAATGTTCATAAGGAGTCAATATGTAGTTTTTAAGAGACAATCAGTGTGTGTCTTATATAAATGGTACATCTGTGGTTTTTAATCTGTGCTAGACTTCAAAACTGTGATCTCCTGTATTGTATGCAACTGCGAACTCCGCACCAGCGGGAGTTCCGCTGTGATTTAAATAGGTTATAATTATAAGTGAAATTCAGAGCAACTGAGTTACTTATTATCATCTTTCTAAAAAAAAAGAAAAAAGAATATATATTAAAAAAAAAAAAAAAACCCACAAAAAAACACGATCGCCTTTCACCAGAGGTGAACTGCACTGAAACTTTTTACAACAAACTGTCTCTGAATGAAAGAGAAAAGACCGAAAATAACCACCCAAGGACATTAAACTCCTCTGGAGTTCACTTACAGCCGGCCATGCTGGCAGTAGCCGTCAAATCAAACAGGACTTCGGGCAGTTGCTCTGACCTGGACGAATTTAAACTGAGAAATTCATTGTCGTTTATGCTT